TACTGTAATTCGAATGGTTCCCGAGATATTCCCAAATTTATTTAACTTTTACAATCATTTAAGTCCAAAATTAATCTAAGTTGATTTGTAAATTTGTGTTATTTAATTAAAAAATAAAAATGATTTATAAATATTGCTTTAAGCGGATATAAAACGTAATTAGTCACAAAGTGAGTTTTTAACAAGTGCCTATTGTCGAACAGGTACTCAACTACATAAAAAAAGGTAACCATTACAATATAAATACGTATTGCATACAATATTATACAAAAATACTTTATGCCGAAAGTTAATTTTGCTATAGTAAATAGAAAACATTTATTAGCCGATTATTACTTGTATATTACTTCTTTATATAATATTTTCTAGCAACGTTTACGTTCATAAATATTTCTTTTTTTCCACAATAGTGTAAATTTTAAATATTCAAATAATTTTTATTTAATTACTTTATATATATATATATATATAATATATTTATTATTATCATTATTTTTAATTTCAATTTTTCTCTTCTAAAGCGCTTTTAAAACACATTATTTTGGACGAGATCTCGGTAACAAAAAAAGAAAAATTACTAATACCATTTCATATTTCATTCGGGAGTCCTTCGAAATCTTTTTCAAATCCTTCATCATTCTTTAATCCATGCTTTTCGGCACTCCCCAATTTTTTTTCTTTCAAATACATCAAACTATCTTCGCGAATCGGCGTCCAAGTATCATCACATTGAAGATCTGATAGCGATAAATCAGAAGTAATCGCTAATTGTTCAATGTCACCCTATTTAAACAAAAATAAAACAAAAATAAATTTAAAATAAACAAAATTTTTATGTTAATTACTTACAGAAAAAAGATATCCAATTATTATATCGGAATCTTCCGGAATATCAAACGAATCGACCCTTAAATAATCAGTTGTAGACCAAAGGCAGTCAATATAACTATCCACAACGCTATTATCACGCAAACTAAACAAGAAAAAAGATGTTTTGTAACATATAACATTTGTAGTTAGCTAAAAACAAAGATGTTTTGAACCACGAACTCAATTCACCGCTACATGTCAGCGACAGCGTTTTTTTGAATTTATATCGAGTGAGATACTCATCGAGAGAACGTGCTATAGAAAGACTTTCCTGTTTTTCACGAGCTGTGCGATGACGACGAGAGTTTCATAAGTGAGTGCTTGAAGGGCTCGGTTCGACGCTATTCGCCTGTTAAAATCTATAGAGAACAATGTTCCCAACTCGGTGATATCGATTTTTTTCTCAATTACATTTCCCATTGTGGGCTAAATTAATTATTTGAAAAATATTTCGATTTACCTGATCGTAATTTGGTGCCAGTTTCCATCTTCTAAAGGTGTCGAAATTCGAACCGCCTCAGTGCCGTTGGACCCGACGTGAATAAGTTTAAGATCGGACCCGGATAGCTCTAGGGACAAATAGGAATCCTCACGCCTTCGCGATCTCAAGCTGAATATCGTGCCGGTTGAGCTCTGTGAAAAATACCCAAGTAATTTTTGAAAAATAAGGAGAAAAGACGTCATTCGAAGGCGTTCCGACTGTAAATCTCTGGAAAGGACCAATAAAATTTATTGAGTCGTTAGAGGAAATACCCGGAAGGGCTATAATAGCCTGGCCGAGACGTCAATTAGGACGAAGATATAAAAAGGGAATTTAAAATAAATAATAAAACTTAATACAAAAAAATTACTACAATAAATTGAATTAAAAGTATTCTTCTGCTTCAATGTTGTTAATCAATAAAGATAGAAATGATCTCTGACATCTTCCTACATGATTCCTGTCATTATTCTACATTCTCTATCAACATTATCCTTCATATGGCTAAAGATGGTCTCTAACATCCTCAAATATAGTGCCCGACTTTCCTTAACATCACTTATTACATCAAAATTGTTTGTGACAACATGGTCCTTCATTGGTATCTCCACCATCCCTGATATGTCTGAACTACATAATTCTTAATATCCTCGAATGTTACTCTTAATATCGTTTATAACATCGAAATCGTCCCGGATACATCTGCTAATCATCTTTCTAATATATAGTTATTGCTCCTGGCCTTCATCAATATCTTCCCTATGAACAATTTTTTTGACATCTCTTAATGTTATTTTTCAAAAAATCATAACTTCTTTATTTATAAAAGTGAAGAAGCGATTTATGTCTCAAATTAAAGCTGAAGATGTCTTCTTTCGAAACTTGTATCGCATTTAAAAATTTTACATAAAAAAGTTTTGAGATACAAGTTAATAACTGTTATTAGATAACTTAATTCGATTAAAAATGGTTAATTTTCAAAAAATCTTAACTTCGTTATTTATGAAAGTGAAGAAGTGATTTATGTCTTAAATTAAAGCTGAAGATGTCTTCTTTCGAAACTTGTATCGCATTTAAAAATTTTACATAAAAAAGTTTTGAGATAAACGTTAATAAGTTTTATTAAATAACTTAATTCGATTAAAAATGGTTAATTTTCAAAAAATCATAACTTTGTTATTTATAAAAGTGAAGAAGCGATTTATGTCTCAAATTAAAGCTGAAGATGTCTTCTTTCGAAACTTGTATCGCATTTAAAAATTTCATATAAAAAAGTTTTGAGATAAAAGATTATTAGGTAATTTAATTCGATTAAAAATGGTTAATTTTCAAAAAATCATAACTTCGTTATTTATAAAAGTGAAGAAACGATTTATGTCTCAAATTAAAGCTGAAGATGTCTTCTTTCGAAACTTGTATCGCATTTAAAAATTTTATAGAATCTTTGTCAGTTCTATCCATGAACATCCATCATGATATCTCTCAATATTTTCCCTAACAACTTTAGATATCTTTCTTGGTCTTCATCAAACATCTCTCAACGTCGCCATTGGCCCTTCTTTCATTAAATCTTATTTCTTATTATCTCCCTTACTACTATGTTACTACTTTCGATTGAATCACCAAGATTTTTTTAAAATGAATTTAAAAATGAAACAAAAAAACTTTTTTAGTACTCACATTTTGTGTTCTCATTGTGATAAAAAGAGTAAATTCTTTAGGAAAAGCCCCATTTGTTCCATTACCAAACAATTGAGATGATGGTACCCAAATATACGTATTTGGAACTAAACGCCAAGCTGAGGGACGAGATGGGACTTGTTGCCATCTTTCTCTTGACGGATGGAAAAATTTACTATAATTCGTCGCCAAAGGATTCACAACGGTGACACACCTGAAACATACAAGATAAATTCCCTATTTCACTTGAATCACACTCTCGGAAAACGTAGCAATTTAAGAGCAATTTCAACGTGAACTCCTCGTAAATACTTCCTCTTCCATTCGAGATGAAATAACGGAGACAGGATCAGGAGACGGAATCAGACGACGGAATTACTGAATGAAATAAGAAAACCGAATAAGAAGATGGAATAAGAAGACACGGGAGGCAGGTACTGGGATAAAGTGAATCGATTGAATTTTTTGTAGAATTCAAAGACCAGGTTCGACGGTAATTGAAAATCGTTGACCCGGTCCTTTTGCAAGCGTGTTATTGTTCCATTTTCACCGGGAACTCTTCTTTCTGAATCCCGTAAATGGTTTTGCGACAAAGAACGGCGCGAGGGCAACCGCATGCCGTAAATTGTGAACCACCTAGAACTGGTGTATATGGCCCGGAAAAATTGCGAGAGCAGATAAAACTTCGTTTCAAATTTTCTCTTAAATCAATTTATTCCTTTTTAATATAAAGGTATTTCTCTTTGAGGATAGCGAGGTTGTTGTGTAAAACATATAAAATATTAAATTATTTCATTAAAAATTCAATTAACCAAAGAGCGAAAAGCTCTCTAAAGTCGACAAGTCGACGTGCATTTTAATATTTAAATCCGAGTACACTCCTAAACGGCAGCAATTAAGTGTAATTTGAAATTTAAATGGTGAAATTCTCGACGTCCCGTCCAATGTTAAATGGATCTCCAATGTATTTAGGGAGAAGCCGGATTAGATTCGCAATTTACTAACCAAACAAACCAAATTTTCAATCGAATCGATATCATGGCTTGTTTAAATTAAACCCGTATACATACCATTAAATTTTATTTACTAGAGAAAAATAAATTTGTTTATTTGCAACGAGAAGTTTCAAATATTAATTTACAACTCCAACTTTAAGACACCGTATAGCTCGCATATATAGGAATTCAAAAATAGTTCATGGTGCAAATTAAACTTTAAAATGACTTCTTTAAATTGATATAAAAATCATTTCTTAGATTACATAATTCAATTAGATACAATTGTTTTAAAATTGTGTTGATTTAGTTAAAAAAAAAAACTTAATTTCGAACGCAACTTTAAAAATGTACCAAGACTGTATTTATGGGAACTAAGAAATGATTTATACACCAAATTAAAGTTTGAAATCTCCTTTTTAATTCGATATAAGAAGCTTTTCTTAGATGATATTAATCGAGGAGATACATTATTTTTAAGACTACGTTGAAATTCGAATTAATCAGGAAGTATTAATTTCTGACACAAACTTTAAGACACCGTATAGCTCGCATTTATAGGAATTCAAAATTGGTTTATGGTATAAATTAAACTTTAAATTGTCGTCTTTAATTTGATATAAAAATCGTTTCTTTGATTGCACAATTAAATTAGTTATCATTTATTTAAGATTGTGTTGTTTATTGAATGATTAAATTTTATTTTAGTAGAGAAAAACAAATTTGAATATTTTTGATGCGTTGAAACGTCATGGTTGGTTTGGTTTTAATTAAAAAACTTTTAAGTTTCATTATTTGGTAGATGAAATTGTGCTTAAAAGATTTTAGAGGGCATTAACATTTTTGTGGTGACGAAAATTAGGCCGCGAAAACTGAGAAGTGAAAGATTAATGCGAAAACTTTCGTGAGATGACTCCAAGTTGTTTGCCAAAGTTCACATCATTAAGTATGATAAAAAAATAACTATCACGTTTTTAAAGTTTTTGAAGTTTCAAAAGTTGCGTTGCATTTTTTGTTTAAGCGTTGATAAGATTAAGAAAATGTTAAAAATATAGATTTACTCAATTTAGAGCACAATCGAGAATCACACTTTATTAAATTTCGTGGAACAAGCGAAAATTAACTCTTCGTAGCTTAAAATACACAGAGTTTCAACTTGACCGATTTGTTCAACGGTTCCATTGTTAACTCAATTATTTCGTGTCGAATTAGGCTGGAAAACTTTACGCTCGATAAGAATTACCTATTCTTAAACTCCACTAAAACGTTTTCTATTAAAGTACCAATTCGATTCGATTCAATTCTAAACTTATTGAAACTCACCCAAATAAATTACAATGTCTTTGTTCCACATTATACCCTTCGCATTTCTCTATGGTACAATACCGCAATCTTTGTTGGATTCCTTTTCCACAACTGACGCTACAGGTTGACCACTCCGACCACTTAGTCCAACCTGTAAAAATAAAGATAAAAAGAAACTCTACATTTTTTAATTTTACACAACAGTAACTGCATGGCCTTTCTATTGATCGTGGAGAACATAACCACGCATACATAGAGAGGGTCGATTAAATCGCGTGTTAAATTGGCTGCAATTTGATTGACATCGTAGGCGTTGTGATGTTCCACGATTGATTTAACACGGCGTAACCGGCACCTCCACCAATTATTCGTAGTATTGAAATAAGACTTTTTCGCGGAGGTAAATTTTTGTAACAAGATCTCGTTAGGAGCTGAGCACGTATTTTATTGTGTTTCCTTGGCCGCTACCTTATGGATAAAACTTACGAAAATTGCACTTCCACGTTACGTTTATTTCTTTCTTTTTCTAAGAAATACGTTCTGACTTTAAAACGGCTTTCCCTATTGGGGATTTTGTTGGAATGGATTTTCTCCCGAAGGGAATAAAAACTTTAAAAAGTTTGTTCCTTTTCATTTATCTATTTATCCTAGTTCAAATGCATTGTTATAATGATTTTCTTAGATCTATAATTCGTAAAAAATTGAGACAAACAATCATAACTCAAAAATTATTATTGATGGAGAAAAACATTTATTATAAATTTTGATTATAATGAACCGAATTAACATAATCCATAACCATCTTAAACTTAGTTATCACCACTTCGAAAATGCAAAGTAAAAACTCTCAAAATTTCAAAATAGATGACTTTTTTCAATGAAATCGAGAATAACTCAAAAATTAAAAGTGATGGAGAAATGTGGCATTTATGAAAATGATTGGGAATGAACCCAAAATACATGTCCATAAATAATTCGAACCTAACTGTGACGATTTTTTTAGGTATGAGGTAAAAATCCCTAAATATTAAAATCTTTTAATTTTATTAAAACAATCGATCATAACTCAAAAATTATTATTGATGGAGAAAAACATTTATTATAAATTTTGATCATAATTAACCAAATTAACATAATCCACAACCATCTTAAACTTAGTTATCACCACTTCGAAAATGCAAAGTAAAAACTCTCAAAATTTCAAAATATTTAGATTATCAATGAAATCGAGAATAACTCAAAAACTAAAAGTGATGGAGAAATGTGGCATCTATGAAAATGGTTGGGAATGAACCCAAAATCATGTTTTAAGATTAGTTAGAGCAAGTGAGATTAATTCGAAGTGATTGGATTGCGAATCATTCAGAGTAATTCTATAATATTGAAAACGAAGTATTTGGAGCAATTTAAAAGCTACTAAAAGTTATTGAAAGCGTTTAGATTTGAAGCACTAAATATCATATAAATATAAATAAATTTCGACATGATACATATTATAGTTAAAATATGATTTGTTTTAAAATTGTAGGTTTAATTTCCTTCGTGGTGTTTCAATTCCATTGTCAATTTTTAATTAAAACCGATCCCAATTACAGTTTTATATAAGCCTCGGTAACACCATACAGATATCGATTTTTCTCGCAACGTCCATTTTCCGACTGCATCAACCGTATGGTCACGTTATAGCCGAATTTATGGCTGAGTTCACTGAATACGTTCGCGCGAATAGTATTCAATTCAGCGATGAGCGCTTGCCCGGGATGCGACAATGTATGCGCATTCAATTTTCAGATATTCCAACGGAGATTACAGTTACCTAAAGGACTCGAAGTGGAAATAGGGGACTGGGAAACTTTATCCTAAAAAAGGCGTTTATGGAGAAAAAGAAAGAACGCTTTTCTTCCTTTTTTCCCCCACTAAAAATCTTAAGCATTCGACTAAAGGCGTCCTCCTTTCATTTATCTTTCATGATATGCAGTGGAAAAATGTATATATTCGCGCACCCTCCCGAAAGATATCCGAGATTTATTCGCACCGTTGTAGAAACGCGAGCTTTTCCAGTGATTACTAGATTACCCTTTCACCCTCAGGATAAAATATTACATCGCCGTTTATCACGAAATTTGAAGCTCTAACATAAATTCGTTCTGTTATCGACATTCCGAACTAAACGTTTGATTTAATCTCTTTAATCCGGGTCTTACCGACAGCCATCCACACCCTTTGATCCGTTTCATGGTCCCATTTCACTACAGAATGCGCAACCAACTCGTTATCCACCACATCACAGAATATGATGTACTTTGTTGGTACTTGTGCTATTTGACAGTCGATCAAAGGGCGACTAGTAAATGTGATATTAACTATTCTTGAATTCCTAAAACTAAAATAATCCAAGATTAAAGTAAATACTATATATAGCCATTTATATTTCTTACTCGGAATCTTCTAAATATCGATTATCCATAAATTGCGATCCTTTATAAGTCATAAAAAAGTCGAAGACCGCAACAAATGCTCCATCAGGTTCATCGTCAGAAATCGGACCCATCAAAACAGGTCGATCGGTTCCACCGAGAATCACCCGCGAATTTTGGGCATTCTCTTCAACACTGACCAGCTTCGAACTAAACACGCTCTCTAAATTACACTGCGAGTCTAAAGTTGCGTTCGCGATCACGATTAAAAAGTCTATTAGCACAGTAATCAATACTATAATCGGCACTTTACGATAGGACATGATGAGATTCCTTTATTTTTTTTTATTTTATTTTTATTGGGGCTCCGCTCAATTTAGAAACGTTGATGAAAAGACGAGTAGGAGGCGAAGAACACCTGCGGTCATCGTTACGACTACCAAATTTCAACTGCCAGAGGAACAATCCAAGGTAAGCGACGACGTCAACTTTCAAGGTTTTTTACGATGTTATGGTCGAGATTTAGAGATGATGATGTGGTTTTTATTGTTGTTGTAAACAGTACACCTGTAATATGTAATGTCACGTTAGTTAATTTTAAAAAATAAATAATTTGGACCGAAAATTGGAAAACACCAAAATTAGACTGTTTTGAAAAATCAGTAAAAAGAAATATGTTCTTTTTAATGGTGACAATTAACAATTAACAATTAATTCAAAATTGTTATGAGCTTAAAAAGAAATACATAATTACATATCTAATACATAGATTTTATCCCATTGCCTTCGGTTCTTAAGATATAACTATTTAAATACATCAATGTTGTAGTTTTTAACATTAAATAAAACTTTCAAAGCAAATATCTCAAGAACGAAGATAGATATTAAAAAATTTTATTCTTCTTTTTCGATTTAGAAATCATTTTTCTATGTGATTATATCATCCACTTTTCTATAACGATGATTGTTGATAAACACCAAGCAAAAAGTCGTTCTTTTACTAACTTACTACGTTTTTTATTACTGACTTCATCTTCAGCCGAAATTGCTTGCTCAGCTGATTACGGCGTGATTAAGTACATAAATTAGAAAATGTTTGTTCAAAAAGAATCTGCTGGGGGATGAGAACCCAAAAAGGAGAAAGGAAAATAAATTGAGTTTGATGGAAGAGTTGTTATAGTGTTGGTTTCGGGGGATTCCCCTTAAAACAAATGAGGGTCGAGAGGGTAGATTCATTTGTGTAAAGAGGGGGCGGCTGAACGTGAAAAAGAGAACTCTGCGAATCGCAGCGGTTTATTACTCGTAAAAAGCAGTTGTATAAAGCGGAATTATTGCGATAACTTTTGCTGTTATTTGCTGAGTTGTTTCCTTGGCATATTTTTCAACATACGTTAACAACATTCTAAAAATAGAATATTGAAAAAAAAAATAACAAAAATTATCATCATAAATATCTGATAGAAGAAACCTTAATAGTTATCGACCAAACACATTTCTTGAAACAATCAATAAATTCTCTTCTTTTTAAAAACGTCATTTCAAAATTACTTAGATAATAACACCAATTTATTTAAAAACGTTTTACGTCATACTACATAAACAAAAACGTAAAATTTGTTTTGTTGATCGTATATTTAATTAAAGAATTGGTACAATAATCGTTCAAACCTTGAATTTAAAGGACGTCGTTGGTGATATTACTTTCTTTGTAAAAGAAAGTTTTTTGAACTAAACTAAACTACCGGTGAAACGTCTGTTTCCGGTGTGTTAATGCAAGGAACGCGTTTTAAAACCGACCTGAACGAGTCGAAACCGGTGTAAAACTGAAGTCCGCAAGCCTAGAATTCAGCAGCTCGAAAGCTGTACGAGACATGCGCCGTTTAAAACCCCCTATATACAGGACACTAGAGTACTGTTAAAAGCTTTGTCTGACACCTGTACACTTTTCAAAGTAAGTGAGTATTCCAAAGTGGAATAAAATAAAAAAATCTAATTAGATTTGAATAAACTTAATAATTAGTTTTAATTTATTCGATTAAAATTTCGATTAACAAGCGCTTAGAGATACATTGAAATGCAAATTCCAACGCACTGCACATCTACATAATACCCCAAACCGACAGGTTACAAAGCCGTTTATAATTGTTGAACTAGGTACGCTGATAATGGATAATGTAATCGACAGATTACAAACATAATATGGATTACATCCTCACTTTTTTGTATTCCGATTAAATTGTTGTTCAGTTCTGCGAAAATTATTCACGTACTCCAATATGCATAAGAGATATTTCGTGCGGACGTGTGAATCGCACACGTGACAAGAAAGGGAAATCACAATTACGTATTTATGAGTATTTTCTTTGTAAAAGGATGAGAGTGAATATCGGTTGCCGAAGGAATAAGCTTTAAAATTTTAAATTCGAACGTGAAAAATATAATCCTGCGAGATCAAAAGCACGGATAGAGATGGAAACGACGAAGATGCGAACGGGCTTTTACTCGTCGAGCTTTGAATAATGAAAATCTTTTGAATTTTGCAACACTATTGAGACGAGAAAATTTAATTATTTAAGTATTTGTTTCAAAAAGATTCTTTATTCTCAAAAAATGGTTACAATTCAATCCTCGGATTGTAGTTGTTCTGTTTGTTTTAGTTAACCCAAGCCAAATTGAGTCTTTAAACCCATTAGAACTGAGTTGTCTTGTCTCTCTTTAATTGTCCCCGTAATCTCTGGTTTAGTTCTCCACTCGGCTTAAGGAGCCGGTAAATTTCGTTTTATCCGACCGAGAAACTCGTGTTCGATATATATATATATTTCTGTAACGTAATTAACCCGGTAAGTCCTTTTCGCAACGTCATTAAACCAATTATGTGCTACTGCTCTTCTCCACGGCCAAGTTTCCGTTTGTACGAACTGCACCGAATGCGGAAATGGCAATAAACCGGGGGGAAACATACGTAGGGTTTCATTTTAATCTGTTAAGCTTGTTATGGAACGACCGATTCTATCAACTGATATAGGGATTTTAGACCGCCTTTAAAACTCTGTAATACAATCGAAAACAACTATCTTAGACTCTATTAATTAATCAAATCATTACCAATTAAATACAACTTAGTATGTAGAGTCATAACAACAATTTTCAAGTTTACTGGATCAACATATTTCAAGCAAGATTGTGATCACTTTCCCATTGCTTTTGGTTCTTAAGATATTACCTATACATCAATGTTGTCGTTTTTAACATAAAATAAGACTTTCAAAGCAAATATCTCAAGAACGAAGATAGATAATAAAAAATTTTATTCTTCTTTTTCGATTTAGAAATCATTTTTCTATGTGATTATGTCATCCACTCTTTTATAATGATGATTGTTGATAAACAGCAAGCAAAAAACGAAAAGAAATTATAAACATTTTAGGATAAACTTTCATTACCTCATTTCTTAAATCGTTAATATGACTTTTATAAAATCTTTAAGATATTTTTCTGGTAAAGAAATAAATTTATAATCGAAAATAAAGAGTAGTATTTTATCCTATTGCCTTTCATTCTTAAGATATTCCCTTTTAAACACATCGATGTTGTCGTTTTTTATAAAAATTAAAACTTTCATGGCTAATATCTCAAGAACGAAGATAGATATTAAAAAAATTTATTCTTCTTTTTCGATTTAGAAATCATTTTTCTATGTGATTATATCATCCACTTTTCTATAACGATGATTGTTGATAAACACCAAGCAAAAAATGAAAAAATTGTAAACATTTTAAGGTTACCTTTTATTATTTCATTTCTTTATTTGTTAATATGACTTTTATGAAATCTTTGAGATATTTTTCTGGTAAAAAAATAAATTTAGAATCGAAAATAAAGAGTAGCATTTTATCCCATTGCCTTTCATTCTTAAGATATTCCATTTTAAACACATAAATGTTGTCGTTTTTCATAAAAATTTAAACTGTCATGAAAAAGCTTAAAAAAGGAGAATAGTTAAGATATCGAAATGAAATAAAAGGCGTTGTAAAGACAATTTAATCAAAATACAACACACCAAAAACCATTTTTTCATTCCCATGAATCTCGTTGTTATAATTTTTTAATTTCAACTTTGTAGTTATTGAGGTTAGATTGATGAAGGCCAAACTTTAAAACGTCGTATCTCGCAAACTAATTTAGATATAATTATGAAATAAAAAACGAATTAAAGCAAATTTACTTAATTTTAAATGTATCGAAAATTATTTCTTCGCACCCACTAATTTCGCCGGTATGATTTCTTGAATAAAATTATCTACAGTTCGGTGAAGACTAGATTAATGGAATTTATGTATTATTAAAAATAATTGACCGATAATACAGATGTTTTGATATGTATATCAATGTAATTTCTTTTTATCTGGTGTGGAAGAAGTAAAACTCGTTGATATCCAATATATATGCGGTTAGATTCGGTATAGAAAGTCAATTTCGTTTCCTGGAATACGCCGAAATACGCCACTTTTAATAAATCATTTTCGCCCGCTCCCATCGTCTCGCATTTTCAAATTTAACATTTCGAATTGGCGATTTGTTTTGGCCCGGCGCATTCTCGTTGACGTTTTAATTAAAACCGCGGCTTCTAATCTCATAACGAAATTTAATTTATTAACGTGTCACTGTGACCGGGGGTATTCTATTAAAATTTAGCGGGATGTAACGGTTTTAATTCATCGATATTAATATTTAAAAATTTTTCACGTTACAAATCAAACGAGACATTCATAAATCTCTGCGTTCGAGAGACGATGCGATGACGTAGTGGTCTTTCAAACTCTTTAATATCAAAACCGTGACCGTCTGCAAGCAAACCATCACGTTTGAGTTTACGGCTGCCTACGGGTATGGAACTTTCGCCAACCCCTCTATTGATTTAACAGAAAGTTGGCTCAAAGTCGAAATTACTACAATCCGACCCTGATTAAACTGCAGGAAGAGTTAATTTGTTTTGGTTATTTATTACATAAATCTTATTATATGAAGTATTGTTGATTCATTTTTTGATAAACGAGATTGTTTATTTAAAAAAATTACAATGCCAACGACCCCTAATTCAACAAAAACTTGGCGATGAGAAAGAGAGAAACACCCCGCACTCTAAATTTAGCATTGTGGAGAAGGAAGATTTTAAATATAACGCGGAGAGGAATGGATCAGTAGTAGTCCTCTGGACGACGTGACAGACGCGTTAATGTCCTGAAAGTGTCCTGCAGGGAGCCCCGAAGAAGAGGGCCATCGGCGACGAGAAGACTTCCGACGTCGTAGGTGAGTTGATTGATTATTTTTGGTTTATGGACTTTGCGCGGACGGTATTTTCGGGTCCCATACAACTTTTTGTTCTTTTTATTACCAAGACTATTCATAGTTCTTGTTGGGGCGGAGGATTTTCACTGTCTGGAATTCTTGGCTTAAGATTCACACTAATAAAGTATCTTATTAAGTATTTGTAAGTAGATTTCAGTTCAATTTTTTTGTAAACATACTCTTGGTGTAATTTATCCACATGGCTCTCTCGCAAAGATCGTTTGTTGCAAAGCAGAACAACTCCTTGTCTCGGAGCTCATCTGGATAAAAGGGGCGCCCGAAGCTATGTGCATTAGTAGACAAAAGAGTACGTTACGATGAGGGTGCAATACATGAATGCAAACGTTGCAGCCGCAAAAGGCAAAATCCCAGACCGTAAAATATCCTGGAGAACCTCTACGGTTTGCTTAGGTTCAACCTGAACAGAACGATTTCAGAAAAGACGAGAGAATGAAAGGTTTAAATTAGAACGAAAGAGATCCCTTTCCACTTAAATCCTCACCCTTTAATTACATTTGAACCGGTCGTCTTTTGTCCAATACAATTTGCTAAACAGGTTCAATTTCGTTCGATTACAATCCTATAGAAATGGGTGCACCTATTCAATTTAGGTCAACGTCACTCCGCGTATTGTTAATTCACGTTCGAATATAATACTATAAACCGATTAAAATATAATCGTTAAAGTATAATTGATGATTATTATAATTTATGATGTTAATATTTTAATGGGGCACGAAAATTATTGATAACTCCCTCTAAATATTAAAGATAAGAAGTTAACAGCCAAAAGGTGGTGCCTTTGACGAATTACGGAACGGCCCTTTTGATGTTCCGCTCCACTTCGGGTGCCTCTAATGTTCCTTAATCGCATTGTCGCCTTCTAATGACCTACTCAACAGCTTCAAATCGACAGATCAATAATGATACTAATATTATAGGAATTTCAAAATTACAACTTAATTAATGTAAGAATTTTCATTAAAATTGAAATTCGGTTGTATAATGGTAAAAAAAACTATCTCTGGGAGAAATACTGCTTATGGAAGACTTTATATTGTTTGCGAAAGTCTTAATACTGCTAATAGATACTTTTATTCCTCTAATAAAATGAATACTTGATGTAGCTAATAGTTGATGTTCTGAACACTAAACGATGCTTATAGAAGACTTAATACTGCTTACAGAATACTAAAGATACTTTAACAAGACTAGATACTACTGCCATAAGATTATGCTTATAAATACAGGGTGTCTCTCGTAACTGGTTCGTTTGAACTTTTTTAGGTTCCAGTATTTGTACAGTTTTGAAATTTTGGTAGTATATAAATGTCGCAATATGAGGCAAACTACAATAAATAGGTATGGGAATACTCCGATGCAACAAATGGCAATCTATTTGACAACATCTGAAGAGTAATCGTGCCAAAGTAGATCTTTTTTGAATGAACTTTGGTTGAGATATGGAGT